AAAAAAAAAGAAAAAAACGACAAGCGTGACCCCCGCACCGTAGCAGCCTGCATGGAACATATGTGTGGGTCGGCTTTGTGTGCACACAGGGATGATAATGAATCTTGAATATTTATCTCATCACTCCACTCTTCAGGTGGTCCTGCGGTTTCAATCCCCCACCTCCTTTTTCTTCTCTACACCTCCATTTCTTTAGTGGCAGAGGAGGAGGGTAAAACTGAGGCATTGGGCAGGGAAGGAGGGGGTGATGAGGGTGAGAAAGCATCAAAAGAAAGTGAGTAGAAGGAGTGAAATGTTGGAAAAATTGAACGGGGGAAGCAAAGAAGTAGAAGATATTAAATGTAAGGTGCGATTCATTTGAGAAAGTTTTTTTTTTTCCAAGAAACCAAATGTTGAGATCACATTGACTCACAGTGTTAGTTCAGGTAACTGTTAAGGTAAGTTCTTCCTTAGACACCTCAGGATGTTACTGAACACTTCCCTGTTAGCCCTGAGGGGAGACTTAATCACAGCGTGCTGTGATTGACCCTGTGGATGTCTGATAAAGCTACAAACTACTAAGGGAGACAGAGCTTTTGCCACTGTGGCCCCGAGACTGTGGAACTCTCTCCCACTGAGCTTAAGATCTGTGGACTCAGTCGTTCTTTTTTTAAAAAACAGCTAAAAACACATCTTTTTAGAATTACATTTTGTTAACTTTTGCCTGTTTTTGTTTTATACTTCGTCATCCCTGTGTGAAGCACTTTGTGATCTTTTTATCTAGAAAGGTGCTATATAAATAAAATTTTACTTTACTTACTTACAAATATGCTCCTGGTTTCACTCCTGACCTGCTGGTGCCTGTTGGGGGTGACTGTACCTCAGGTTATCTACTAATTGGAAAGATGGTGGTTCGATTCTTGGCTGCTCCAGTTTGCATGCCTTGGGAAAGATACTGAACCCTGGGTTGTATTCATTGAAGTGTGAATGTCAGATAAAAAGCACTTACGTGCAGAAAAAAAGAGCTTGTATGGATGATTAATTTTATTTTTATAAACTGTTCTGCACATGTGGAAACATGTGCTTTGAAACTAGACTAGAATAGAGCTTGAAATCAAAAGCGAAAATGAACAATATCAACCCAAGAATAATGTAAATCCCAACAAATATGGAGAGGGGATGGTGGAAAAGAACACGTAAGAAGGAAAACATCAGAGACAGAGAAAGAAATTAAGGTGCCAGAAAGTTCGAGATAATGATGAGAGTGAGTGAAAAGAAAAGAGGAGAGGACGGTGACAAGGAGGTAAAAGGAAAGAGAAAAACAAGAAACAACAAGAGGGAAAATGAGGGTGATGTAGATGGCGTGATGGATGCTGTGAAGAGCAGAATCATGGGGTCAAACTGAAAGAAGAACAGAAAAGATGAAGAAAGAAAAGCAGAGAATAGAAAGGAGGAAGAAAAGCACAAATAAAGGAAGAAAAAGAAGAGAGCGAGGGGGATATGGGTGCAGTGCGAATACAGTGCAGACTGATTTACTTGCTGTAAATGTACTTAAGGGGCACTGAGCATACGTGAATATGTGGACGGTACAAATCTGCGGTTTGTATTTTTGGTAAGCAACTTAATCAGCTGTCTGAAAAGTGTGTTTGTGTTTGGCGGCGCCGGCGACGCTCTAATCAAAACACAAACAGCATAACAGCTGCTAAGACTGAGACATGTCCACCAAAGCTGGTAGAACGCCATCTGATCTGTGGAGTCCTTTTACTCATTTAAAAATGTTTTACTGTTCTCAAATCAGATTTCTTACGTTTTTCATGATGGCATCCCTGATTTGTTTATTTATTTAGGCATTTAGCCATCATTTGACAGTGAAACTGAAAGTGAGACCTTCACGTCTTCTGCTCTGCCTCTGCTCCCACTCACTGCTGTAAGGTTGTAAACTACTGCTCTTCTTTGTGTTATGCAGTATTTGCCCCAGTCCTCATTGCTTAGCTTAAATACTTCATCAACCAAATTTTTATATTAGACAAAGTGAAGTCAGCTAAAAGATCTCAAAAACAACAATATGGACTATGGCAAAAAGGGGTTTGGAGGTGGTAATAGAGTCCCTGTGCAAGGTGAATATAGGATCTGCAACAAGGCTTAAGTAGGTGTTATGTGCCAAAGCACCATCCACATGGATGGTAGGACCCAGGGTTTGCCAGCAGAACATTCCCTAGAGCATCACATTATCTCAGTGGGCTTGTGTGCATCCTGGTGCCAGGTGTTCCCCAAGTGAGCAACGCGCAAACCCGGAAAACATGATTCATCAGACTAGGCCACCATCTTCCATTGTTCTGTGGTCACTGTAGGTGCTTTCGGTGGTGGACAGTAGTCAGCATGAGCACTCTCACTGGCCTGCAGCTATGTAGCCACAAACACAGCAAACTGTGACTCTCTCTGTATTCTGACACCTTTCTATCAGAACAAGCATCGACATTTTTAGCAGTTCGAGCTACAGCAGCTCGTCTGTTGGATCAGACCACACGGGCCGGTCTTTGCTGCCATGTGCATCAGTGAGCTTTGGCCACCATGACCCTTTTGCTGGTCCACCACCGTTCCTTCCTTGGACCACTTCTAATAGAAACTGACCACTGCAGACCGGCAACATCCCATAATAGCGGGAGGTTTGGAGATGCTCTGATTCAGTGACAGTGCTCTAAACTGTATGCCTGATCAATGTACAGCTCAAGTATTTCATATCTATATACAATAAATGTATCAATATAACGAACTGTATAGATTTATTATTGCACGTGTTTATATACTTCAGTTGAATTGTGAGGAATGGTCACTCACCGAGGTCGGCAGCGATGTATCGTTCTCCTTTGAAGCGGACTGCTTCGTCTTCATAGACTGGCTTCCGCAGATTTCTTCTCTCACAGAATCTGTATAGCAGCTGCGTGGGTGTCAGCTGGTCTCGCCACTGGTTTACTCCAGATCTAACAGGTGAGAGACAAAAAGCGTCTAATAATATAAATAAAGTCTTATTTATTTTGTTATATCTGTCTATAATCATTGTCACAAAAAAAGGTTTTTGTTCTCACATCCATTTCTGTTGGGTGACGTCCGGAACAGTTCAGGGTCTAATTTTATCAGTTTAATTGAAATTCAGTTTAAGCTTAATAAACAGAAAAAAATGTGTCCTCACACATGATATGACTGTGGCAGGCCACACATGGCTCCATATTTGGACAGGAAGCGGTTCTCCAGGTCAATCACCGTCTCGCCGATCTTCTCGTCTTTGGTGAGCATGTCGTGGTCGTACAGCATCACGCGAAGGTCCTTTTCCAGTGGGAGAGAACACGTGAGCTCAAACATCCTGTAGAAAAGGAAAGCAGAAAAGGATTTTCAGCTTTGGTTCAGGCATTAGGAGCTTTCCAGTGGCCTCTCACGCGTTCGTGTGGCCACATCAATGACAGGAATTGCGATCACATTTTAAATGCATGTAGAAGTGATTGAAATGCAGATACAATTTTTGGGGTTTTTAAGGCCAAAATTATGTCCTAACATGCAATGTCAGATAAAACCTCCTGGAAAAGGAGCATAAATCTGCACGTCCACTTGAAGGAACTTCTTAAGTTTCACTCCTGTGATGAGTAATGTGTGCTGGTCTGCTAGGACATTTGTCAAGCCTATCCCCCTGTTGCCGTCTTCATGAGTCTATGGAAAGACATTTTAGCAGAACGCTGGTGTGCACCGACTTGTCACACTGACTGAGAGCAGTTTACAGCCAGCAGTCGGAGCTCTGATGTGCACCAAGTTTCTGCTCTACTGTGGTCTGGTGCTCTGATTGGTTTGTGTGTAGTGACCCCTACTGGCAAGAAAACACACATAAGGGCGAAGGACACAAAATAGAGTAACAAGCATACGAAAGAGTGACAGAGTGAATTCAGTATGTGTGCTTATGGAAATAATTCTGAGTCATGTATTTAGACTGGATCCTCATCATCCTCATCATCATCATGTAAGACACGAGTTTGCAGAGCTGTCCCTGTGTCTGTCTGGTTTCTCTGGGTACTCTCACAGTCCAAAGACATGCACTTAGTGGGGTTAGGTTAAATGGTTATTCTACATTGCCCATAGGTTTGAATGGTTGTGGGTCTGTGTTAGAACTGGGTCAGACTGGCAACCTGACCAGTGTGTACCCCGCCTCTCGCCCTATTGTAGGTGGGATAGGCTCCTGCCCACTGTGAAGCTGAATAAGGATAAGTGGAATAGAATAGTTAGAGGATAGTTAGTTGGGTTTTTTTAATCAAGATTTTTTTGTTTTATGAACATTTTACAATGGATTGTCTTTTAATTATTTTAAGAATCCATGTTTTATTATTGTACCCTCTTTAGTTTCATTTTGTCAGCTTCTTTTAAAGTCAGTATATTTTATTAGCTCTAAAAAAGATAGAGAGAAGCTTTAATAAAATTATACAAAAGTTCTCTATAACACTGCTTCATGCTAAATTTATGCAGCAATCACCAGAGCTGGATTACCAACTAAGCAAAGAGGCTACCTGCTGATGACGTCTCATACTCAGTTGGTTTTATTAGTCTCCAAAAAAGTCTATTTGCTTTATCGACCACCAATTGATTACTTTTTTTCAAATAACTTTTAATTATGCTTATGTATATGATGGTTGAAGTTGATATTAAACATGGCAAATGAGCAAAGGTTCAAATAATACATTCTGTATATGTATAAGTAATCCCTGTGAGCACAATGCTCAGGTTTCAGGCAGTTTTTGTCTGCTCTTAGGCTCTGTATGGTGTCAGAGTGGATGTAGTCATTAGAGGGAAACTGCTCTGTCTGTGAGCACAATAGCCCCACCCAAACCTTCTGTTTGTAAAGGACATCCAATCACAGGGAAGTTAGCTTAACAAGGAGGTGGCCTTAAAAGGAAGGGCAGTAAAACAGCTAGAGGTAAACAGACAGAGGAACAAGTCCTAATATAAGATTAACAAATATTTGAAGTTTGCAAAGCGACTCTAGTAGAGCTCAAGAATAAACATGAGGATGTGGAAATGAGCATAATCAGTCCCAGAGTGCTGAATATAAACAAATGCAAAACTTAAACTTCAGTTTAGTTAAAGAATAACATTTAAAAGTTAGTTTTTGTACTGCATCCTCAATTATTATTATTTTTGTCCAAACTAGGAATCAGCCGGGACATACAACCTTCATCCCTCTACACATACACAAAGATTTGTGGCACAGTTAGATACAGGCTGAATCCACATCCTTTTAACTTGGGGACAGATTGGGACCTTTATACATGATACGTGACAACAGTGCAACATGTGTACACTTCATCCTACCCCTGTGTAAATTGTGTAATAAATAGTTTCTCATGGTATATTTTCCTGTTCTGTATTTTGTTTTTTAACATTTTATTGATATTAAGACATTCAATATAAAACAATTCATCAATTAACAGGAACCCATGGGTAGGTATTCAGTTCCCTGTGAACCATTGCGGTTTATGGCACTGAAAATGTCAAGTGGTATGAAATATGTGCCAGGGTGTGCTGGTTTGCATGGAATAACAGAGGATAGAGGAGTGAAGTTTAAGGAAGCCTGCCTCTAGACCAGAGACTCTGAAAGTCTGTGGATCGCCTCCGAGTCGGCAAGATCGGGGAAGTCCAGACTTTTGGTTTTAGGCACAGATAGACAGAAAGGGGGGAAAGAGGGACAGACCAAAGAGGCATTAGTGTACGTACTTTCCAAAGACTGGGTCCAGTGTACAGGGGATGTAGTTTTCATGGTCGTTGACTGACTTCTTCCCCAGCATGATCTTCACATACGGGTCACACTGAAAACAACAAGCTTTCTGTTAACTCATGTCATCTTCTATTTACTTGGTATCACTTATACCCTCCTTGGTACAAATCTTTTCCTTGACCTTAATGAGTATCCTAACCATGAGTACCTAATTCTGGTTACATTTTCTAGCCATCCTCTTCTACATTTCTCTCCCTTTCTCCCCTTATACCTTCCCATTGGGGTCTTTGGGCTGGAGTCCATGAGCCTGGATGATGTAGACTCTGACCAAGCACTCCTCGATGCCATTGGGAGGCAGCTTTCTGAACTGCCTTGGGGGAACAGGGGCACCGGGGTCATCTGGCAGGGGGTAGATCTTAAACATGCCCTGGTTCATAAGGGAGAGGGGTGGAGGGATTGTGAATTAAAGAAGTAGATGTGAAGTGGTGTAAAGGAAGCTTTTAAATTAATAAGTACCGACAAAGATGAATGAATCGAGATAAGCTCTAGGCACAATTTAGCATGTGATACGTGATACGTAACTTCACATCAGGCTGCAACAACTTGCAATGTGGCGACTAGAAGAAAATGGCAAATAGTGAGACTCGACTGAACAACTTTTAAACTTTGCATTTACCTTGAACTCTCCCACCACTGAGGGATCTTCTCCTTCATCTTGAGTCTTTCCTCTGTACAGTTTGAATGTTTGGCAGAAATCAGAGAGTCCTTTAAAATCCTCGATCTTCTCCAGCTCCCGGTCATACACCTGAGGAGGAAGAGCAGAGCGGGATAGGAGTTTATTTAGCCCTAAAACAGGTCTATTTTAATAGCTGACTCACACATTACAAAGTAATAGATACGTTTGGGGCAAAAAAAAAAAGAGAGAAAGAGGAAAAGCAGAATAAGGAGGTAGGAGTAAAAAACAAAAAAGACATTTAAGAGAGTGTAAAAGAGGGGCAGAGATGGATGAAAGTCCACAGCGCAACAAGATGTGGAGATGACAGAATGAAAGACATATTTTAAATTACAGAAGACTCAGAAAGGAATAAAAGGAAGAGACGCTTGGGGTATGGAAGGAGGACACATCATATGCTTACTATTTAGAGTAGTGAACATGAAAACATCAGAGCCAATGAAAATTGGTGAGTAGACAAAGAGAAAGAAGAAGAAGGGCTGTGAATGTAAACGCAGAGAATGAGAAAGAAAATGCTTTTTGGATCTGTCGCAATCAACATGTTTAAAATTTCAAATAATGAATTCAGAGTATGTAAAAGTAATCCCTGTGAGCCAAAAGCTCAGCCTTCAGACTGAGGTTTTCCAAGTCTTGGATCTGCATGATGTCATAGAGAGGGGATATCCCCAAGGCCTCAATTATACTCTGTTGCAGACAAGGACACAGGCAGCTGGAGGCACCACGGCTGAGTAATCATTCCTGTTATACTTCACTGAAGTCCACTGCCTCGGATGCATGCAGATGCATGCAACGCAAAGTGTCCACAGAGGAGACCACCTGATGTTCAAGCCTTTTATGAGGGACAGCCAATCACAATAAAGTTGGTCAAAATAGGGAGAAGCCAAACATGGATGAATTGAGGTCCAGTAAAAGATACACAAGGCTTATTTTAAGCTGTGAATCATGCAAAGCTAAAGAGCTCATCAATATATAAGAATAACAGTGGTGTTTACATCTAATTCATGTTCAGTTTTTAAGACATTATCAAGTTTATCAAGTTTTTTTTCAAATTAGATACACATGTGTGAGAATTCAATGGGTCCAAAGCACGACTAGATTAATTTGTTTTCATTAGTGATGATTTTCTACTTCACTAACTCAGTCAAATTCATTGACTTTCTTCAGCTTATCAAGTTCTGGAAAGTCACAATCTAGTATGTGAAAGAGGCAGCCAACTGAAATCTCATATTTGTCACCAGCTACAGGTTGTGACACCAGTCAATTTTGTGTTTGAAATTTCGCATCTGTAACAATTATGATGAAAAAGTAGGATAGACTGAAATGAGCTCCAGTCACACAGGCACAGAGACTGATCTGTGACCATCTGGCAACCATCTGTGAGGGAAAAAACACATATTCCCCAACCAGTTGCGAGTGGCTGTTGGATGTTAATGGGATTTGCTGGTGAAATGCTTGCTAAAGTCTCCACTTACGCAGTCCAACAAACCAGCCAGTGACCCTGTGATAACAACCTGTTGCTGGGGGAACATGTGCACTCCCAAATCTCATTATTGGAAGATTGTTGTTAAACAAAAGGCTGTTGTTTCTTTCTTGCAAATGTTTTTTTCAAGTTATGCAGAAACTAAGACAGTGGTCTTGCAAGCACTTTTTCAAAATGAATTGAAAGAGGGAGGAGAAAGGTTGTGAAAGCAATGAGATGCTTTCCATTTACTTTGTTATTAAACTGGGAAGGGGAGGAAAGAGGATTGTTAGGAAATGAGGAGAAACAAGGGGGTTGTGTTGGATGAAATGAAGGGTGTACGGTTAATGCTGTGAAAGGAGAGAGGTGAAAGAGTTGGAAAAGCAGGAATGGGGGCAGGAACTGTGGAAACATACCGACGACGGGGGTGATGTAAATGAATGAAAGGTCTGGAAACAGCGATTCATTTCAGTACTTCAACACCAAACCCAAAAGGGCAAGGCAGAGCGTGGAGAAAAAGGCTCTGGCAAAGCATATACAGTTAATAATGTATAGGATACACACAGGTACTAAACAGATACCTTGCTGATTAAACCACGATATGATTAAATCATATCACTTATAGAAAATGTACTTAGAAATTACGTTTTTGATATAAAGTTTAGCTAAATTAACCTTACATGAAAAAAAAGACAGAAAATAGCAAACCTTTCTCGATCAAAACGTTAAAGGTCACCTTCTCAAATTCACCAGTTAACAGTTTGCATTTTATTTTATTTTATTTTTTTAAAAAGCTCAAAATAACACTTTGAACTTGTACTGACATCTACCATGAAGCAGAGACTCAAAAAAGCCATTGGTTCTGACTAAGAAATAGCTGGCTTGTTCTCAACAGAGAAAGACAAGTTTGGAAATGCACCCAATACCAAGAGAGATGGAAGGCGGTGGGAAAGGAGACGCCAAGAGACAGGCGAAGTCATAACAAGGGTGGTAACAGCGGTGTCTTTGTGACAGAAGCAAAACTAACCAGTTCTGCTGTCTGTTGCAGGGCAGAAGCAAAGATGTGAAAGGAGTGGTCAGAGTGTGGAAGCAGTGGAGTAAGCCCAAGGTTTGAGAGAACATCACTGTGTGGATTGAAAAGGACAGTACAAAGAAGGTAAAATGGAAAAATTAGGAGATGAGGTAAAGGCTGATGTAAGACAGCAAGAAAGTAAAAAAAAAAAAAAAATGCAGCACACCCACTAGAAACCACAGTGGCAATCACAGCTCTTGTTCCTGAATGTCACCAGTCAAAGCTGTTTTATGACTTGGTTTACCAAATTGTTTAAATGATGAATAGTTTTTTTTTAAATTGCTATAATCACTTTAGTGCTAGCTAACTTTTAGAGTGTTACAAGCTATGCACTAGCATTAGCATTATACTCTTTCTTCTAGCCTGTATTAACTTTAAGGTCATTGTACACAATGAGATAAACCATGTATCATGTGCCCTGCATAAAAATCAGATGTGACAAACATGAACTTAGTGAAATACCACATAAAAAACTTCAACTGACTCTTGCTCATGTTTGGATGCTTGATTAGGACTTGGTGTCACATTTAAATGCAATGATAACCCTTTAGGCTACGTCCACACTAGCCTGAATAGATTTGAAAACAGCATTTTCATCCGAAAACGCTTCGCGTCCACACTAGCGTTTTCAGTCATTTTCACAGAGTTGTGTGTCCACATTGAAATGGACGAAAACGCTTACGTTCCAGTACTGCGCATGCATGAAATGCAAGAAGATTCGACCTGCCTCATTTCTGTCTGCCGCTTATTTACTCTTTGAAACGTCGCGGCAAAATGTCGAGGAAAGGCACCAAGTTTTTTTAAATGGACTAACAATGAGGTGGAGTTGTTGCTGCGAGTAACACAAAAGTATAAAGTAGAAAAACAAAACAACTGCTGTATAATGCCCTCCGCTATCTTAGTTTAATTGGTCACATGACTGCAACATATGACTAACATGCATCATCGTTTTACAAAGTCTGCGTTTTCACTGTCCACACTGCGACGCGAAAGCACCATTTTCAAATGTATCCATTTTCGAGAGCGTTTTGAAAACGCTGCGTTTTCCATGAGCGAAAATGCCGTCTCAGTGTGGACGAGAGGCCAAGACGGAGAGAAAACGATGCGTTTTTAAACAAAAACGCATTAGTGTGCACGTAGCCTTAGTGTCATTTGTTTGCATGTTTCAAACCAGAGCATTAACACGGTCTTGACTGTGCCATGCCTCCTGCCTTTTTAAGTTTAAGTTCAAAGATGTCTGCGTTGCGGAAACTGGAGCTAATAAATCTTACAAAATGGTAGGAAACACAAAATACATGCAACTCCACACAGATTATTACAGTTGTAAAATAGTATATGGAGAAATATTAGCTTTGATATTAGCATTGCTAGCAAAGCATAGCATTATCTTTGTGCTAATCATTGCGTGTTGACAGAGCATATTGCTATCATGTCTATCTAACACAGCCTTTGTCTTCATCATGTTTAACACCATGTATTTAGCCCGATAATATAAAGTAAGTTTTATGTGAACTTTTTGGTGCTTTCAAACTTATTTTATTCAAACACTGTTGCAGCTGAAGCATCATAGTGGCAAAACCCAAGGCTTTGTCTGACAGCAAACCCATGCATTTAGCTGTACTTCAAACTTATCATCAAAATGAAGCCGATTTAAATGATTTTGAATGTCACAGGGTAATTGGTGACAGACAGGCTGGTCTGAGTATTTCAGAAACTGCCGATACTAGGATGACCAAATGGAGAGTGGTCAGGAAAAAGAGAAAATATGCAGTGAGCGGCACTTCTAGGGGTAAAAATGCCTCACTGATACCAGAGGTCAGAGGAGAACAGCTGGACTGCTTTGAGCTGTAACACAAATAATCACCAGGGTTTTTTCTATTTTACAAATGAAGATTTGCAAAATGGTATCTCTTAATTCACAAGAAGATTGGCTACAGTAGCAGAAGACCATACCGAGTGTCACTTATGTCAGCCAAGAACAGGAAACTGAAGCTAAAATTCACACAAGCTTCTATTGTCAAAACTGGACACTAGAAGATTGGAAGGACATTGTCTGGTCTGAGGAGTCTCGTACAATATGATGATAAAAACATATGTTTAAAAAAAAAAATAAGGTCTTTCTTAATTTTGACTTTTTTTATAGTGATAGCGGGGAACTGGCCACACTGAAGTTCAATTCAATTCCATGTTATTTATATAGTACCAAATCACAACAACAGTTGGCTCAAGACGCTTCATATTGTAAGGTAAAGACCCTACAATAATACATGCAGTGAAAATTTCATTCATTCTGATGAAGAAAATCTTTGTGGTATTTACTTATTCTCTAGTGGATTGCATTACTCTTCCAGACAATTAATTTTATTCTCCCATTTATGCCAGTTTATTTATTTTTTTAGCAAAGTCTCTATTTTCACTTGTTCTCAAATATTTAGCCCTTTTCGAATGTCATTTTCTTGTCCACCTTCATATGAGTGGCACACCAGTGTGCTAAATTGGTGATGTAACTGAAAAGGTTTTTGCAGCAGCAGGAGGAGATGG